TATATTATTTTAAGTAATTTTTACTATAATAACGTTTTAAGTCTAGTAGCAGTTAGTAATAAGCTACTTTATTAACCGTTATATAAGTGTATCTTTAAATCTATTAAATATAATTCTATTAGAACGTAAAAGTCCTATAAATATTATATTAATTGCTACTTTTAAGGAGTAATTAACGTTTATTAATTCTAATATACCACCTAATATAAGGATAAGGACTAATTTAACGCTATTAATTTAAAGTTATCCGCTATTATAGGCTTTCATATAATTTACACATAAAGATGTATTTAAATAAGTGAATTATTTAGGGTTATTAAAGGTATAATTACTATATTTAAAGTTAAGAATTACATCGTTTTATTTAAGGTTTTCTAAAGAAAGGACTATATTAATTACGCTATTTAAGCTATTATTAATAGGAATAGTTTTAGGATTAAATGCATTTACATTAAGCGTAAGTCCTATAAAACTTCTACTAATATTCGTAATATTAGAATTAAACTTTAACCTATTATTATTTTTAAAGCTATTTAGCTTCTAGTTCTTAGAATTTAAGTTAAAATAAAGTAACTAATATTTATCCTTTTTATATTTAACTTTACCTGGTTTAATTATACAACCACAATTAAGTTTAATATTCTTATTAGTATTATTAAACTCTCTAGTATTTTATAGGTTAGAATTTCCTCCCTTAGAGTTATTATTGCTATTATTACTATTATTACTATTATTACTATTATTATTACGACTATTTTAGCCTTAATAGCCGCCTTAATTACTATTCTAGCCTTAATTACTACCGCAACCTCAGATACTATTTTAGCTATTACCTTAAAGCATAAAGGTCTAAATTACATTTATTATTACTTTAATTTAAATAACTTTAAGTATATTAGGTAATATCTTCAGCATTTCTTTAAGAGTTAAATCTCCTTTAATAGTGCTAATTTTCTATAAAGCGTATAGTTGTAAATGTAACTTCTAAATTACATTTATTATTACTTTAATTTAAATAACTTTAAGTATATTAGAGTGTTTTCTCTTAATTTAATTCTATAAATCCTAGTATTTATTTAGCTAATCACGTATTTTTACGTAAGCAAAATAATTAAAGGCTATAAGTTAAGTAATAATATTAATAATTATAATATCCGCTTATATATTAACGTCTTTAATAATTATTTACATTATTTTAACTAGTAATTTATCTGGAGTCTATTCTCTAGCTTTAAGATTCTTTTAAATCCGTGAAAATACTATAGAGAAGATTAATATATTACATTTTATAAAGCTAGTATCTAATAATTTAAAATACTTTATTTTACCACGTATAATCTTTCGCAGACCTAATATACGAGCTATAAGCTTAATTAAAGTTTTCTATTTATTATAGTTAATTAAATCTACTAAATCCTTAATATTTACTATAATAATATTATCTAATAAAGAGAAAGCTAACATTCTATTAAAGTTTACTCGTATAAAGCATAGAATCTTCTAAAACCGCTTATAAGCTTATAGGTTATCTTAGATAGATTTAAAAGTCTCTAAATTTTGCTTTAATATACTTGTTTATAGTAAAATTTAATATGCGTTAAGATATTATATAATATTTAATCGTTATTATTTTAATTATCACCTAAATTACTAGTATTAACGAATAGCTATTATTTAACTATATAGTTCATGATATTATTAAATGTTATATAAGGGCCTTTAAGTATTATATATTTAGCTAGTTATTTAAAACCTAGCTTTAATATCTTTTAGTATAGCGGTAAGTGTAGCTAGCACTTTACCGTTATAATTAAAAGTTATTATAATTACTAGCTAGTTATAGTAAAAGCAAAGTTAAGGGTATACGGCTCTTAAAGGCTATATTAATAAGCTATAATTTCGTTATAACCTGTAAATAGTATTAGTTTAGTTTCCCCTTAATATAATTACTCTTCTTATTCGTATATTATATTATTATTATTAACTTAAATAAAGTAAATAACTTTCAAATTTCTATTACCTTAATAATTCGCTTTTTAGCGTTAACTCTAGATTATTAGTTTTAGGTGCCTAAAGTAATTACTTGTAAAAGTAACGTTAAGTCCTAGCCTGCTATTCGTGTAAAGTTATTAGGTGAGAGGGTTTTTCTTTTATTATAGTTATTAATAATATATTAACTATAAAGTTAAAGTGCTAAATGCTAGTGTTTTTACTATAATTATATAATTAAGGTAATAGCTTTAATAAGGCTAAATTTACTATAAATTACCGTTTTAAAGAGGTTTTAAGTTTAATTTTAGCGGTTATTATTTTTTTTAATAATAAAGCTTAAGAAAGGTAAGCTATTAATAATTAATAAAGGCTTTAAGCATGAATTTAAAAGCTTTACTAGCCTTAATCTTCTTAATAGCTTTCTTCTCGTCCCTTTTACGTTTTATAAGGCTCTTTATAACTTCTTATCTCTTAAAGAGGCTTATAGCATACTATAAGTTAAGATCCTTATCGTTTAATAGTGCTATAATTAGTCAATTATAATGTTTTACGCGTAGGTTATATATGTAAGCTATAATAAATGGTCTACGACCTTAGTCGTCACTTATAACACTCGAATTAATAGAAGATAAAGACAGAAAGAGTTAGTAGAAGGTTTATAATAATACTCTAAGAGCGAGAGGGCTTATAACCTGTGAAGGGAGGCAAGGCTAATAAAATAGTAATTGCATTAAACTGTCTTAGCCGAACTAATAATAAGGCTGATAAGCCGGGAATGTGCGATGCTGTGGGCATCGCGCGAGGCTGAACCCTCATCACGTGACCACCCTCAACAGGCTGCAACTGGCATCCCCACATTTTGGAAATATGTAGTTACACGGTACGGTCTCCTTACGTGTGTCAAATCGCCGCCGCTCAAAGGCCCATTCAGGTGGCCAAATACATCTGCTGTAAGCGGGATTTACCGATTGGAAGGCTGGGTTACGTGGTCAAATGAACGGACACGAGGTGTGAGATTGGCCACCGAAAACCTCCGCTATTTTGCTCAGATTAGAAAGGCCTCGAATCGGAATGCTCAGCCATGTGCGATATCTTTTGGGTCCAAAATGCAGCAGACCGGGGCATAAGACACACCCCCGCTGACAAGGTTCACCAAAACACTATTCATGCCTTCTGCATTGTGAGTGCAGTAATGATGAGTCGCTTGCAGCAATACTTTTTGGCCATTCGCAACGCCTACATTAAATTCGGTGTGGAGGATGATGGCTGCAGAAAACAGCGGAAACTCCCCAGCTTCACGTAATTTTTAAATTGGCTTTTGCCACTGAATTTTAATCCGCAACCTCAGATAGCACCGTGCTCACCCCTGCGATCCCTGCTGCCTTACGCACTCACTTGCTTTTCCGGCCTGTTTCGTCAGAAATATGTTCCGACGTCACTCTCGCCTGTAATAGCTGTGGACGTACTCCGTAGATCGCCTTCATATTCGTCAAAGTCGAGCAGGACATTGCTTGCTACGTGTCTCACCCGGGAGGTATCAAACCAACCTGAGCTGGCCAACAGGAACAACTGGAGAAGAACACAAGCAGAAACAAAGCCTTGCTCGAGAATAAGCGGATCCCGGCAGTCGCGAACAGTGACCCCGATGCATCTCATCTTATATCTAAACGGAGCCAAATTCCAGGCTAGGCGTTCGAGCCGTCGTGAGGCTGCATGTGACGTATTTTCGGAATTTGGCCGAGCCGTTGCGGCTGCACGAATCTGGACCCGTTGACGTGACAAGGAGCGGGCGGAGGAAGCAATCGAGCCGTGTGGATTGCGAGTGAATCCATGCCTTGCGACCAAGATACTTGGAGCACGGCCGCTGAGTTTTAGTTACTCCCTTCGGAACTGTTTCAATCTGGATGGCTGCCGATGTCACAACTTGCATGAGACCACGGACCCATGGAAAGTGCCTCAGCTGCTAACCAAAGGTTCTGGTCGACGTTATGGAACTGGCTTTGTTTGCCCGGCTTTTGCCTCACAAGCTGCACCAATGGTGCATGAAAAGGGAGACACATCAGATCCTCTAGATGTTGAGTGAGTAGCATTGTCCATAGATAAACTCTGGTCTGTCACTCTCATTGTGGATCACCCTAAAACTGGAGCCTTGCCGCTCTACTTGGATTCAATCTTGCTTGGCGTTTCTTGTATCGACCCGCATGTGTTGGGTCGGTGCCGCTATTGCAAGGATCAGCCGGGGCGTACTAATTTGGCAGATTTTCTCCTGAGAACGCAATCGGCCCTGCCGCAGCCATTGGGCCAACGAGACCGCCCGGTACAGCTCAAACGACGGCCATCTGGTAGTGGGGAAGGCGCTAAATTTTCATTGGTGCCCGTCAACCTTTTGCTCAGAAAGAAAGAGATAACCTGCGGAACTTTCAAGGTTAAAAAAAAAACCTAAAGAAAAAGGGAAACTTGGTAAAAAAATTTAATCAAAGGGCTTCTTCATTTCAATTCTCTTTTCTGCTGTAAAATAAGAAAAAGGAGACAGAAGGAAGAACTTTTACCTACATAGATATACGGAGTAGCAGGGGGGGATATATTGACCGCTCAGATCGACAACGCGCTTGGGCCAACAAGTAAGCTCAGTTCAGTACATTTCGATCATGCCGAGTCAAGGGGTTCTTTTTTTCATCCTTATTTCCATTTGTTGCAGGGTTTGCTTGTTTCCTTCTCTCTCTTAACAGACTCTTAGAGCATATTCTTGGTCCACTGCGGCCTCTGTCCGCCCCCAAAACAGTCAATGCAACGCAGATGCCATTGCACCATACATAGTGCATAGCATCATCACTGACACCATGAGAAGGATGGCCGCTCGGGGCCCGAGCCGCCTATCCGTTGCTCTAACTCTAGTCTGTGTACTGGCTGGAATATTCACATTGAGGCACATTTGTAAGGTAATACTTTGGACCGCGCTATACTCTCTCTGTTGAAGAAAATCGCAGCCAAAGTTTGTTTTGGCGCAAATGTTGACTTTGTACCAACAGGACAGGCAGGATCCCGTGGTTGCACAACGCAAATCCGACTACAAACCGCCGACGAGTAAGCCCGACTACCTGGCGAAATATGACAGAGATCGCGTTCATTTACTTGTACCTGCGAATCGCGCCGACGCTCGAATGTGTCGAACACTGACGAGCGCTCTCATCAACGACTACCCATCTCCGACAATTATCAACTGGGAGACAAAGGAGGGTGACGATTCTATGAATGGGTACGATATGACGACCGGAAAGAACTGGGGCGTTCTAAAATATCTGCGAAATCTGCCTGCAGAAGCGGACCAAGACTTGGTCATCATGGTGGATGCATACGATGTCATCTTTCAGCTGCCGTTGGATATTGCACTGCAACGGTACGAAGCGGTAAATGTCGAGGCGAATTCTCGGCTGTCTCAACAACATGGAGAGAGCCAAGTGCTGCAATACGGACTGAGACAAAGCATCATCATGGGCGCCGAGAAATACTGCTGGCCGCTAGACCACAGGCACCCAGCCTGCTGGGCAGTGCCTCCATCGCCTATTCCGGCGAACGCATATGGGAGGCAAACAGACAAGGGAACAGCAACTAACCGACCTCGCTGGTTAAATTCAGGGACCGTCATGGGTCCCGTAGGGGATCTGCGCCGGTTGTACGAGTGGGCCCATGTACTCTGGATGGCCTACGACACCAAAGGCGGCGATCAGGATTACTTTAGCAATATATACGGCCGACAGGAGCTATCACGCCAAAGGTTGCGCGGCAGTAAAGAATGGTTATTTGGCTTTGGTGAGCGGTTCAAGGAGAAGAACCTCATTTGGCCACACATGGAGAAGCAACATACCGACTACCACCTGGGCGTTGATTTGACCAGCACGGTATTCCAGCTACTTAACAAGGCAGTTGGTGACATGTCTCCGGTTGTCCACAGAGACAGCAACGATGTGGAAGCCAAGGACCGCAAACATGGGACGTCGGCTGTTTATGGTTCCAAGTTCCCATTTCCTGACGACTTGCTAGCATCGCCAATGCCAAAGGGAACTCAAATCGAGGCATCAACAAACATTACCTGGCTTGACGTGACGCTACTCACCAATTTCCACGCGCGCTCCATTCCTGCAATCTTGCACTACAATGGCGATGTGAAATCCGGCGCCGACAAGGCGTGGCCGTCGCAGTGGTGGACAGGTCGCGGGCGAGATATTCTTCGCCTGAGGACGAGCAATCCCAACTTTGGCATTGCTACCGATGCTAACAAAACGCTGCAGTGGCAGGATATTTGCGGACAGTTTGAGAATAAGTTGATTGGGCCTTCTTGAGTTGGCTTACTAATAAATCTATATATTATAGTTAGGCTATATATAATAAACTACTTGATAAGGTTAAATATAATAGAAGCTATTAATAGTAATTTATTATATTAGACTTAAAAGTTATATTAATTAATAACTCTTAAAGTAAATAAGTATAAGAGAAGTTTAATAATAGGTAATTATTTTATAAATTTATATAACCTTATATTCTTTTCTTTAAATAAAATAATACTAACCCTTTTTACTAAGAATAAATTAGCTAGTAATATTTATTTTTAGCTAGCTTTATAATAAGCTTTTATAATTACCTTAATTTTTCAAGCTTTTTAATTTTAATAATTATTAAGTTTTTTTTTAAGTTATTTTTCTCTTTTATATTTTATTAGCTTCAAGATTATATACCCGTATATACCTGTGCCTAGAGCTATAACTTATAAGCCTATAATAAGAAAACTACATTTCCAATTTTTAAAAAAGCTTAAATATTTAATAATAAATCTAATAAAATACTTGAATTATAATAATAAATACATAAATTAGCTAAAATTATACCCAATTAGCTCATATAAAAAAGTGGGCTATTTTAGCTTATTATAAGCTTAAAAACTAGATTATATAATTTTCTAAAAACTTACTATACGTATCTTAGTTTATACTATACTATAAAAACTATATTTTATAGTTTTTAAAGTTTTAAGCTTATAAGAGTATATAAGGACCCACTTTTTTAAATATTAGCTTATAATTTCATATTAATATTAGTTATTCGTAAAACTTATAATTCTATAAGTATTTTATTAGATTTAGTATTATTTATTATATTAGAAACTATAAAAACTATAAAACTATAAAACTATACTACTTTTATAGCTCTGCCTATCATATAGCCCAACTAGTTGATAGCTGGCCTTGTTATCTAGATTTCGGTTGATAATAGGTGAGGTTTATATTAGGGCTCGTACCACCCATAATATATACCGGTGTAACTTGTACTTTTAATCCCATATAATAGGACAATACATGCAGTTGCAACAAGTAGCGCGCATTGTTGCATCCACGCGGATTCTAGCGTCAAAACTGGAGCTATCCAATACGAGCTCGGCGGTAGCGCAAATATGGCAAGTGGAACAACGCGATTTTCCCGGATCCCAGATCCCGAAATGCCAATGCTATGGGCCTTGGGCTCGCTGTGCCAATGGTCTCTCTTCCGCACAACTCTACCAACAATCGATTTTGCTACAGTACCCATCTCGGTTTCCAGGCAAATATTAATAACGCTTCCCTCCGATTCATTTGCAGAACAGCGGTAGTCGACCGTTCCAGCATCGTCACCCTGGCCGACTCCCATAGGCGGGCCACGGGAATTGTCGAGAATGGAAGGCACCAAACACAAACAAGTGGCTGGGGACACCAGCAGCCAGCAGTTTGGTAGACCTGGTCGTGAATGCCTGACGTGGACTCCGACCCCAGTTGCAGCTTCTGCGGCATTGGCTGTGATTAAGACATGGCATGGCTAGCACTGGAACGCTATGACGACGACGGGATGAGATTTATGAACACGCTGGACTTTTACCACACTCCACTTCAGTCTACGGTGTATTGTAGCTAAACATAAACCCCCAGTGCCAATCGGCACGACAAGGCAGCATCGCAGCATCGCAGCATCGCAGCATCAATGGTTTAGCTCTCGCAGCTTGGCTAACATTGAAGCTGACGCTGACACTGACAAGGCAGGGCAAGGCAAGGCAATGCGTGGCAGGCAGGTAGAAAGAGAATAGGAAGACGCAAAACTATCGCAAAAATATAAGGCCCTGATCCTACAAACCGCGGCTAACGGTTGGCCGGCTAAAAACACTATATAACACGTATAAAATATAACGCTTACTTATTTTTATAAGACATTTACATATAAAGTTATAAATAAACTTATATTATTTATAATCTCTTATTTATAATATATTATATTAATAAAAACCACGTAAATACTTATAAAAGAAAGTTTTTAATTAATTTTAAAAGCTAAAAGTAATTTATAAAAACGTGTTAAATATATTATTATACTACTAATAAGCTAAATCTAGTAGAGCGGTACGAGGGAAAACCCCCACTATCGTAATGTATCTTCTTCAGCCGGCTGACGGTCAGTCGCGGTTTATAGGATCAGGGCCTAAACGGGCGAGGACTAGCAAACGCTGTTTGGGCGGCTTAAAAAAATCATGTAAATTACATAAGCACCTTATCATTTAATTGAGGGCATTCACTGCCATGCATTTGAACTGAAAATGTACTATGGGGTCTGGAATCGGGGCCGCCAGACCAAAATTGGGGCGTGGTGGGGTATTGAGCGCCCCGAGTAAAATGGATGAGCGCCCCGAGCAATTGACGTTTGGAAGGCCAAGGCATTTGATTGGCCGCGCTGGCGAAACCTGGTGAGTCAAGCGTTGGGCTCCGTCTGGCCAGCTAAAGCTATATAGAATGACTTGTTAATGTCACGAAGGCACGAATGTACGGACTCTCATTTCCTTTGTTTAGCTTTTTGCAGATAGACACATTATGTATGTAATGTATCTAGCTAGATTGGCGAAAGCCTGCTAGAATATACATGCACTTGTGAATTGAACTAGCAATGGAGGTGCCTGAATGCCCCCGGCTTTGTCACAGTCCCACCTCGCAAATACGAAGAATTCACGCTCGACAGAGTCCCATTATTCGACCAGATCGTATCGTCGTACTGCCTACCACCAGCAACCGAGACCTTTTATTCTCGCCAATCCTTCTCAAATTCCGACTCGCTACAGCTACTGGAGGCGTTCTCGTCTAGGTCATTCTCGCTCGCCTCGGAGAATTCATCATCCACACGAGGTGTCGTCGCAGCCGACGCCATCTCGGGCGATACAGATCTCACCGATAAAGTATCAGGCAGGCTTACGCCATCGCGAGAACGGTCCGCGGCGACACGACGGGTGGACAGTGATGGAGTCGGGCTGCGCAGAGGCCTCTTAGAGCTCTCCATGTCGAGTTGCCTCGATGCCGGCCGCTTGCTGCTCGTCGTGTCCACCCTAATGGGACTATCCGGTTCCTGGTTACGTAGCCACTCTAGGCACTTTCCAGCACTCCATCTGTTCTCCGCACCCTTCCGTAAAGGGCCCTTTAACATGGCCTGGACGTTTTCCGGTGTATCCGCGATGCGCGGGGAAAGTTCCGTCCGCACCCATCGTCCAAAGTCGTTGGGATCCCATGTGTCGTCCGCTTGGGGCAGCCAAGTTGTGAACATCTACAGCTGAATGAGGCCAAAAGCCCACATGTGCACTTTGTGTGTATATGATCGGGGGCGGACGAACAGTTCGGGGGCCATGTAGATCTCCGTGCTAGTAAAGGTCTCCATTTTTGATGAGAGGTTTTGCTTCGATGTACCAAAGTCAGCCAACTTCAAAATTACAGCACCCTCCTGCCAATGTACCAGCGCGTTTTCCGGCCGCAGATCCCGATGCGTAATGCCGCACTCGTGCATATAGTGCAGGGCGCTGATAAACTGAGTGCTGATTTCCAAACGCTGCAGTGGGTTCAACGTGGGGAGTGCGTCGCGGAGAGTAGAAGGGATGTATTCGACTATCATCCAAGGCGGCAGGCTCACGTCATCGGCCAGGACTAACTCGTATGCTTTCAATATGTGCGGCTGAAAAAGAACGTGTCACAAATCAACCTCAGATTCGGCTGCTTCCCGAGTGGAGAAGACCTTCGCTGCAACTTACATGTTCCAGGCGCCTGATGATCTTGTACTCAGCGTCCAACGCCTCAAGCCGTCTCCTCGCATAATCGGAGTTGTCGCTCGATTTATATTAAGGTTCTTTGGCGCCAAATATCCCTCCTGTTGTCATGTTCTTCACCTTCATCACCGACGCATGCATCCCGCGACCGTGCGTCTTCTCAACGACATATGTGGCGTTATTTTGGCCATAGCGGATCGATTCAGCCGACGTCTTCTCCTGGATTTTCATCGAAGGGAGCCTTTTAGGACGTGCAGCCACAATATCCCAACCGTAAGATCGAACCAGTTGCTGATATCGTTGAGTTTCCGCCCGTGTTCGCATCGGGGACCAGACCCAGCAACTCACGGCTTCCCACTCAATCACGCAAGGGCGGGGCAGTTCGACAGGCTCGTCAAGTTTGCATTTCTTAACATCAGTAGGCTCAAGGATGCGAACTTTCTGATCGGATAGCAGTGTCACCCTGGGGTAGTACGTTATTGGACTGATATCTATCCTTATCGATCTCCTGCTCACACGACTTCGGTTATCCCCAGCAATCTGCATGTCGCACACGTCGGAATCACTGTGAGAGCCAAGAATCCAGCCCGTCGGATCGAAAAGGTGTTCCCCAATGGTCAGACAGAAAAAAGGTGGATTAAGATGTTCCCCCGACTGCTCACCCATCCACGCCACATCATCACTGTTGTTGGGGGGGGGGGGATAAGTATCGTTTGTTTTCGGATAACTCAAGAATGTTTTGTCAACACCCTTGAAAGAACCCATAATCAGCACAATTCTGCCAACGTCAAAAGTCTGCGGACTCGTCATATTGAAAACGCAAGCCAGTGCAGCTACACCTGACGCAGGAGAAAGTTGGAAAAGGATTGAAGAAGCAAGGCGGAGATGGAAATCCTGCGCAGTGAAAAAGTGGTGAATATCGAGCCAGAAAAGAGATTCCAATGTCAAGGTTCCGTCGTCGTGCCTATGCGGAGGGGTCTTGGCCCGTCTTTGGGCGTCTACTTGCAGCTCTAGCGCCAGTCACAGGGCGTTGCCACCTCTGCTTGGTTACACCAGCACCAATTGTTTTCTGTGCTCTCGCTCTACTCGCGACGCGGCGGCCCCGTTTGTTTTGTTGGCTCGGTGGCGGTGCGAGCGACGATTGTGATACCTCTCCGCTCTGAAGACACCGCCGCACCCTTTCTTGGCGCCGGCGCCGGATTTGATCCTGTTTCTCCTGAGCTGCTTCCCTCATCTTGTGCTCTTCTAGGGCGGCACGTTGTCGAAGAATCTCTGCCTCAGGCTGCCAATATTTATTATCCGCAATCGAATACCGAAGTTTCGTAGTCTGCTCCGAGGATTGCCCGCTCTGTTGCAGGAAGCTTTTGCATAATGTAGCAACATCGCGCCAGTGCTGGACCGTGGCTTCGTCGCCCTTTGCACGGCCTTGTCCATACAGCCGCTTTATCAATGAACGTAGGTAGTGCTCGGATTCGGTTTTCCAGTAGTGCGGGTCAGAGATTTCTTCCCGACACTGGTCTATTTCGTGCTCGGCGAAATGATCGTGCCATAGCTCGCACCGCAACTTGTGGTTCTCGGCGGTATCGTCGTCGTCGTCGGATGAGGAACGTTCTGGGGTTGCTTGTTGCCTGTCTTCAATCACATTATTCAATCGCTGTTGAAGGTACTCTTGCCCAGCTTCCGACAAGAAAAGGGCTCTGGCGCAGTTGTTGGAACCCTGCATAGAAGAGCCGTGTCTTCTAGACCACTGGGGGCTTTGCGCCATGGAAAATGTGCTTGGGAAAGAAGGCAGCAGGTGGGAAGGGAGTCTGTAAAGAATACAGAATCGGCTCTTCCAAAGTGGTGCTGAACATGATGGGGAGCTAAGATGACCCGCCCAAGGTCACGTTATGCTGCTCACCTCGTAGGCTGCGGCTACCCAATAGCGCTTTAGGCCCATAGCTGTGAGTGAAGGATGCCTGGCGAGAGAAGGCGGAAAGGATGAGGTCCTGAGCAACAGTCACACCAGGGCGCGCCACTATGTAGGATCGCTGTAATTCGCAATTCGCCGCCACGTTTTAAAAGTTTGCCCATACTGCTGCGTCGACTTCAGCTTCATGGAGGAGCTGTCGGAAGACCCAGACGAACTGCTGGGGAGCGAGACGAGCGAACTCTATGAGCAGTTGAGCGACGAAATGCAGGCGGACATTGATGCACGATGTGGGCCCCCGCCCTCAACGCGTGCAAACAGTCCAGCCTACCACCGAAATACTGGAACGCACACTGGCTTCCACATCCATCAGACGAGGCACGGGACGTCTCTTTGCCACCAAATTCAGCCCGCGGCGACTTCTGCCCCCAGAGCATTATTCCCAGCCAGAATTGGTCATCAAGCTATCCCGCGCGTTGCTAGATTCATCCGTCGTGATGATCTAAAACAAATATTGATCTATGCTAATAGTGCCTGTCTCAACAATAGACAGCCCAACCCAAGGGCAGGACGGGTATTCGCCTTCAAACCCGAGTCTTACTAACCTCCCGGCATTATGTCTGGCCGCCTTAAGAAGAGAGAACCCTTGGAGACGAAACAACCCAAACCAGTAACCGGGCTAAGCTGCGAGCTGTCCTTACTGCACTCCGCTTCCGGCATTAACGAGGCGAGGGGTTCATAACATTAGTTTCACTATTGACTCCGAATATACCGCTAAAGGCGCACGACGTGGGTTCATAGCTGGGTGCGTAATGTGTGGAAAACGAGCACAAGCGCTGAGGAACCTTGACGCGGAATGTCGAAGAGCCGATGGTGTCTAGCTTAGGAAGACGTCCACCTATAGGCGCGAAGGATTGGAAGGTTAATGGCTGTCAAATACTTTCTCCCAAGAAACGCTTGCTCGTCTTCATAGGATACCCTGTGCTCTTGTCCCAGCTTGCAGCGGTGTTGGAATAAACAAACAAACCGGATATTCCAAATTCCTAGATTCACTACGCACAAGTGACTGGGGCAAGAGAAGAACTTGGACGGCAACAGCTTTGTTCAAGCCTTTATTATCACCACACTAATTACTCCACGTGGTACAAAGCACGACTAAACCAGCAGCTGGGAGACCATGGCTTCTAGGGGCTCTTGGCCTAACCCGTAGGTTTATAACGCCCCATGTTGTCGCGGGCCAGGGGCTCCTCATTGCCCGGCTTAACCAAGCGCAATGGATAAGTAGACACCCCCTATTCATATCTGCATTGATCCAGTTAACTGCTTGGCGAGCTGTGCTATATGCGCAGGCATTGATTGGAGGCTATCAATAGCAGAGGGAAGAACCCGGCAACAGATCATTTCTGCACGCGGAGTCTACATGCGGCACAGCCTGTGATGTGTAACCCAATCTGCAGGATCTGCACTCCGTACCGAGAGTGAGGTTGGCAGTTGCAGCTTTATTGATGACATGTTTGTCACTAGCGGCAACTTCACAACTTTACCTCGACTTACTGCACGACCAGAACCAGGATTGGCAGTCTGTATACTTGCGTCGTTAAAAGCTTAGAATCGGGTTTTACGACGTTTAGGGTGAAAGGGATAAAAAGCTGGGTTACGCCATATTCTTTTATCGACTTCTCCTTTCCTTTAATCCAGATTTCGCGAACTATATAAGTGAAGTAAGTGTATTATACGAAATCAAGTACAGCGTCACGCTTTAACTAAATGGAAGAGCAGAAATCGTCTATTACCAAATCTGCCCCAAGTTTACCTGAAAAAAAAACTACAGTGATTCCGTAATGCACCTGGCCTTCTTCACCCCAGTTCATAAACTAATTCTTCAGCAGATTAAGATGGCGAGCGCTTATACTAAATGCGCAGCGTTCTCCCGCCAGGAACAGGTCAAGCGTGGTGAAAAATGTCCAAAATGTGGTACACAGAACTGATAAACACCTGTTACGCTCCCCGTGGTATGTTGAGGAAGATATTCTCTTCTAATTTGGAAAGGGAGCCCGAATGCGCAGTCTGTTTACATTCGTTATTGTGCCACCACTCATTCTATATGCCATTCTTTATTGGGATCTAAATATATCATGGATGACCCAACGAAATTGTGCGCCAAGAAGAAAGCTTGTACTCTCATCACCTTAATCTTATACGTGCTATGATAGCTCCGACGAAAATTGATTCTGGGAGCTGATAAAGGAGCTAAAATCTATAACTCCTTAGAAATCTCCAGCCCCAGCACACTTCTAATCCCGTATTACGTTTATGATTCACAGTCAGGCATGCTATCTGTTTCGGGTCAGATAATCTTTTCAGTATGTACGCATCGATAGGGCCGTTAGTAGAGACCAAAATGTCATCGCATCAGTTAACGGAATTCAGCGCAATGATTTACTAGTACACATTTATATAACCAGCTAATATTGAAAATAGCTTTCACTTCACATATATAATACAACACTCTGTGCGGCGAATTCTCCGATCTTTATATCTACGCGAAAAATATACGACTAGATGCCTGCGTAGTCCGTGACGACAAATAATAAACGGAAATAACTAACTGATAAAGAATCGCATAAATTAATTAATTAACTGTAGGCATGTTACAGTAACTTCGTAATAATAACCAGCGGAATTACTAACGTGGTGATTGAGAATGCTTTTCAGGTTGCAGGGCCTAGAACCTCCACATTTGTAGGCTGACGTCAGGCCAGATGGCAACTTTAGGGCTAGGGTAGGAAAAAGCAAGCAAGCGAGCTATTTGGTTGCATCTAGGAAGAGGGGTTGAATTTCCAGCCCTAAGAGAAGGAATCAGAACGCCACGTGAAACAACGTTGCCCGCAGCACTTTTAGGTACTTTAAGGACGCCTCAACGTGCGTTTAAATCTTTTAAAATGTCAACAAAACTGTCACAGATCGATTTTCTCAACTGGAATATTACGGAACACGATGGGGGCAATCGTGTGGCCGAAGCTATCCGAAGAACAAATTGGGACAAGCTCTGCCAGCGAGCCTCAAGTCTTAACGGCGGTCTAAGTTGCAATCTGCTTGATCAAAGTACTAATGGGCTATACAATCTTGTGCGCTTGCTTCAATTTTCAGATCAGAGTCTATGGATCGCCCGGATTAGTTTGCGCAAATCCACTGCAGGTTCAGCCATATTGCGCAGCGAGGCAGATGTGATGCAGTTCATCAAAGACAAATCCAGTCTTCCAGTGCCTCGGGTCTTTGCATACGAGGTTGACGAGAATAACGATATTGGCGTCCCTTATATCCTTATGGAGTTTATCCCGGGTAATACTGCAATGGATGCCGCAGGTGGGTATGAGAAACATAGGGGTCAGATTCCTCTAGCCTACCGCCTAAACTTCTACCGCTCGGTAGCCAAATGTCATGTAAGTTATCACTAACTTATATATTACCTCCTATTTATACTTTGACTAAAATGAACTAGCTACAAATGACCGCTTTGCGCTTCTCTAAGATTGGAACTATTTTTAGGACCCAGAATGGCGAATATGATATTGGCCCTTTCCCCGACATTGGGGGACCCTTTAACACAGCAACACAATTTTTTAAGGCTTGGGCGGAAAACGCTAAATTTCCTCGTGAACAAGATGAAATTTTGCGTCTAATGGGACGTGGGCCAGCTCAACAAGTTCTTCAAGCCATTAACGAGTTCCCATCTCAGATAAAAGAAATGGCTAGTCAGTTATCGCAACATAATAATGGGCCATTTCCACTCTATCATGGAGATTTTCTCCATAGTAATATGATCGTTAATGAGTCTTTTGAGGTTATGGCCCTTATTGACTGGGAAGGTGCATGTACTCTTCCCCAGGAGCTTATAGCGTTTCCAGGATTTCTTGACACTATGCCCGTCCAGTTTGGCTCAAGCGAGAGTTACGATGCAGACGGAATGCCGATAGATAAGGAAGAAAGACAACGACGGACATACCAACAAGCCTATGTGCAGATGGTAAGAGAGATTGAGTGTAATGACGATATACTCTCTACGTGTCTAAGCAATAAGAAAGGCTTGGCTTTGGCTTATTCTATGATGGCTTATAGAAATGGGAAGTTGGGGTTCTATAACAAGGTCTTGCATGAACACGTTAGAGCAGACTCGGGTGGTATTTTAGGAGATAGTTCAATAACATAAGTTAGCCTTGTTACTGCCATACTCAACCATAGGCCGGTCACAAAATGTTTATGTTAATATGAAGCTGGCATACGCTAGGTTTAAAGTGTGAAGTGTGAATAGAAAGTGGTAATGCAGTTAGTATGCATATAGTGTGATAATCGAAATGTATAGTGTTAGCTACGCTATAATCTCATTTTATGCTGCCAGCCAGGAACTCTCTGAGTTAGCAAGTTAGCTGGCCGAAGCCTAAGGCCGAGATGTCCAAGCACTAGTGCTTAGAATTAGGAATTTTTTCAAGGGAGGCTAATAGACGCCAACCGTGAGGAAATCCAAGGTGACACTCTATTTCTTGGTACGCTTATTGGATCTGCGTACAATAGTTATTACAGCGATAACGTTGTACGCGGTTGACTACCATAAACTGTACAAGGCTAGTGTGATTCATGGTCAGCGGGTTCCCTTCTCCAGGGGCTGATCTAGGTTAACAGCATATACGTGATATTCCCAGATGCGAGCAAATCGCTCTCCAGACTAAACATTATCGGGATCTAAGTCTGGATGGCTATTCAACCAATACAGGCTATAGTGGTAACTATATCCCCGTCTCTGCGACTCGTAGCGCCCACGGACTAAGAAATCACGTATAGTATGTGATAACACCGAACAGCAATCTCTGCACTTCGTTCACGGCGCTTAGTGGTACGCGGCCGAATTGCTTTATTACCTTATAAACCCATAGAAACCCGAGAATAAAGTACGCTCGCTAGTTTAGTTTAACGCTTAATAGAAGATATTTTTCACCTCCTTTATTAAGGTATTAAAAGTCCCACGTATAACGCGTATTATTATCTATAAAAGATATAATTAGAACCTATAATAATCCCTTTATAACGTACTATTAATTATAGCTTCTTATACTACGTTAACGTGTATTTAAGTACCTAAGCCACCTATTACTTTACTCGCTTAGAGAGTATATTAATCCTATTATACTATTAAGCTGTAAGTCAGTTAATATTCGTTGAAATAAGGTAGTTTTTTAGGGTAACTATATTAAACGTTAGATTTAAATTTATTTTACTTAATAGATTAACTATTCTTCTTTAAACGTGAAGTAACTAAGCTAGGAGTTAAGCTTATAAAACAGCGGTTAGTAGAGAAGGTAATAACATTGCCTACCCCACCCCTTCCCTGGGACCCTCCACAAAGTTTTCATGTAGTTAGCGTTAAGGTTTATCTACATAAACCCGAGGCTTGCGGCTTGTGGGTCGTAGTTAGAGCATTAACTGTAGACTGTAGTGTAGTTTTATATTTTTATAGTTTTTAATATAATAGATAATATTAAATCTAATAAAATACTTATATAATTATAAGTTTTACGAATAACTAGTATTAATTTTATATTATAAGCTAATATAAAAAGTGGGTCCTTATATGCTTTTATAAGCCTAGAACTTAAAAAACTACATAATATAGTTTTTATAGTATAGTATAAAGTCTAGACTAAGACTTTAGAGATCTAAATGTATTGTATTTTGTATTTTTACTATATTATATTATATTATATCCATAATATACTACGATACATTACAATATAAAAATACCTATAAATGTAATATAAGGCTATAAAGTATCTAATATATTATATTAGAAAGAAATGCTTATATAAGTATTTTATATCTTAAAATAAAGCTTACAATCACGTGATTTTAAATCTTTAAAAATTAACTTTAAAATGTGAATAGTAAGCGAGATATTAAGCTTTAAAGTTATATTTTCAAATAAAAAGTAAGCAAAGTAAAGCGAATTTTCAATTGCCTCTAACTTTTAAATTTAATAACTTATAATAATAAAACGTAGAGTATCTTAGAGAGCTAATTTAAGAGCTAATTTAAATCTTTTTAACTACATAGAAATATCACTTATAAGCCTTGTAATTAGCCTTATAATTCTAAGTTAAAAAGTAAGGGTCTTTTTTACTTAAAATACATTTATAGGTATTTTAGTCTTATAATATAATATATTTAAATATAATACATGAAAATAGCCTTCGTAGCGTAGTGGTTGAACGCTATAGAGCCCTGCCTTAGCCTAATAAAGAGCTAGTTTAAACCTAGCTAAAGGTACCTTTAATTTTTTAGCTTAATTACCCGGAAAAAAAGGGGTTAACTCGTACTTAAGTACGTGAGTTTTAAGACGCCTTATATATAACGTGGTATAAGGTAAGAAAGGCTTTATAAATATAAGAAGGTTTTTCTTCTCTTAAGAGTTTTTCTACTTAAAATAAGAGTTAATATACTAGAATAGCTTTAAAGCTCTAGCGCACTTAATAATAATAATATATGAAAATACAATATAAAATACACTTGTATTTACTATATTTGAAGGGGCTTTAAAGTCTACTACTACCCCCTTAACGCTCTAATATATTTCTATAACTTATAATACTAGTATTAAATTAGGCTCTAAAACTATAATTTAAGTTAAAAACGTTATACTTAAGCTTATAATCTATACTTAGTATATTCTTACCTATAAAGTGCTATAATAATGATATAGTGCTTTTAAGAGGGCTAGGCTTAAAGTTAAGTATAATTTATATTAGCTAACGTGTCTTATTATTATTATGATTATCTCTTATATAATATATTTTATGTAATTAATTCGTCCATTATAGTACAGCTAATAGCGAATAACTTGTCTTTACTTTATAAGGTTAACGCGCTATAGCTTCTTTATAGTAGTAAGAGCTATACTATTCTAAGAGGCACGTTAATATAAAAGTATAAGCGTTTAAGTGAATATTTATAGGAGCGCTAAGTAAAGTTATATTTTAAGCTATAGTAGCATTTAAGCCTCTCTTTAAATAGTATATAATAGCACGTTTTTTAAAGCTATTATCGTTTTAATTAGTATTATCTTTTTAGAAAGAATTATTACCTTTATTAATAAAAGCTAACTTTAGCTACTTTATCTACCGTTTATTAATTATTTTAATACTATTATAATTATAGGCTAGCTATTATTTAATATTCGTGTTATTAGGCTATTAATCCGCTTATAATAAACGATAATAGCTTATATTCTTATCGCGAAGATTCCCTAGTAAATAGGTCTCACTTGCACTGCCCGTGAACACCCCATGTTAGCCGTAGTGTTCCGACCATTAATCCGTCACCTGCCGTGCCTGTGCCGTCTCGTGGCTTATGCATCCGGCCCAACCTGCGACCTCCGCTGCAGCCTGTGACTGGGTCGTAACACATAATAGTGAGACGTCGGATAACTTGGTGTCTCGCATAAAGGAGGGGTACATTGCTGAAGGGTACGTACGGAGTACTTGGATCATAAATGCCGCATTCACTTTTCATACGCCCATGCAGTAGTTTCCCAGAATGGATTAGTTAGTGGCTTTCATACAAGATGCGAATTGAATTACGTCTGGTAGGTTCGCACACTTGGGAATGGTCTGCCTCGATGGCCTTTTCTGCCCCGGGACGCCGCAAATGCGTATAAATGAGAGACATGCAAGATGCAGCCTTCAAGGCTTGGAGGTTTACTCATTCCTCCGAGGAAGCCAACCGGAACATCCGTGATGCATTCCCGTCTGCGGTTCACAGCAGCTGACCTTCCCAAATAGGGCACATACATCTGGACACCGATGCCGAACCTGATGGAGGCTGTTTCTCTGTTTTTGAGGTGATGCTGCCGCCCTTGTCTTATCGTTTCGAAATCTCGATTGGCCATGACAAATATTAATCCGTGGAAAGTGGACTTCACACTGCCTTTTGATTTCTGATAATAGCCATGCGTCGCCAGCACTGCATAGGTACCCAAAATTCCTGACGTAAACAAGCAGCCCCTCTCACCAAGTCCACTCACACCCGGCCGATAATTTTCAATTCTCCCATGTAAGTTGCGTTGGTCCCTCCACGCGTCTCTCCCAATATCTCTCCTCGCAACGCGCAATAGCAATGGATATTGGCGGTCTAGCCCTTGGCGTCTACAAAGACGCCTATTTTCTCAGCAAGAGCGTATATCGACTCCTAACGTCTGCACAATACTACAAAGATGAACAAAAGGATGTGATTCAGGAGTTCTACCACGAGTTTCTCCGCCTCAGGGCTTTCCATCATGTTATATTCACTCTTCGTGGCAAAGAGATTGCAAAGGACAGCCATAACGTTGTACGTATCAATAATTGTGCTCATTTCTCCAATACACTGAATCCGTTCAGCTTCCAGCTAAACACTTGTTAACACGGTTGAAGGAAGTTCTAAAGGAAGTTTGTGACACTATCAAACGCCTTGGAGAAGCTCTTTCCGAGTACAAGAACCTTGCAATCAAGCATGATGAGCAGTACCGAAAATACAATATTGCCTCTCAGCCAGCTGCTGGACCGCTATTCCTCGAGTTTCCAATGGACCTCGACGATCTGCTGCCACCTTCCGATCTCGACACTCCTAGACTGAAGAGGTCCGGTTTCAAGCTATGCCTTGGAGGTCTGAAGGGGATCTTCAAAAGTCCCGTCTTCACGACCGAGGCCTGGGTGTGGGTGCTCTTCGAGCGAGATCGGCTGCAACAAGCAGTAGCAGATTTTCGACGGTGCAACCTTGATCTGGCTGATTTTGGCCCCATACTTCTTTGGAGTACAGCCTTGACACGCCAGGACGTTCAAGATATAGTAAGAGATGCCGCCCAAGAATCTGGTCTGGCTGGCCGGAATGTTCAGTCTTTCCTGTCGCATATCCGACTCCGGGAAATTGCAGAGCACCCAGACCCGGCAGTATATGATGGTAACACCCTTGGTACGTTGAAGTAATAGCATTAACAACATGTGTAGCTTTGACATAGTAAGGATTAGACGCTTTGCTGACTTTTCACTGCAGACCTCTCGCCGTTTCCTAATGCGAAGCAAATGGTAGCATCTACATCTATCTCAGCAGCAACAGGGGACAACCCAGGGACTCTGATAGAGTACAAACGTTATTCCCCAGCTAGTTCATATATCAGTAATCCATTTGAAGAATCCACCCAAGGCAGCGCGAGTGAGACTGGAGGGGAAACGCAGAGGGGAAATTCTCTTATAGCACAGGCACACCAATTAGCAAGACTCCTATTTGAGGCTGGCTCTCACGAATTCCACACACTGCCCTTTAGAGGCTATCTTAATGATACATCGAACTCGCGGTTTGCCTTCTACTTTGATTACCCCCAGGGCGCGTCTGAAAAACAACCCGCCACTCTCCGCCATTTAATAGGGGACAATAACGATGCCGCAAGGCTGCTTCTCCCGCAGCGATTCCAAATAGCGCTCACAGTCTCAAGAGCTCTGGGTGCTTTCCACGCGGACGGCTGGGTTCACAAATCTGTTCGCAGTCACTCAGTCATGTTCTTCTACAACCACGAGAGTCGGGGCATGTATGATCAACCCTATCTCGTGGATTTTGAGTTCTCAAGGCCCGAGATGGGCGGGACACAACTTTCTTTCGATGACGATCTTGAAAGGAACTTGTACCGGCATCCTGATCGGTTGGGATACCCGATGGTCGAGTTCAATAAGGTGCACGATGTTTATGGCCTCGGCGTTGTGTTGTTAGAGCTTGGCTTATGGCAGACTGCTAGGTCGATTTACGACATCACTCTAGAAAGATGGGGTGAGGATAGCGTTCGAAGCGCAGCAAGGATGCAAGACATTTACCTAGCTCGTGCAAAGGGGGGTCTGGGACACTTTATGGGACCAGCCTACTCAGATGCTGTAGTGACATGCTTATCTGGCGAGCTTGGTGAGTTCTTGGGGAAGGATGACTTTGCATTTATGTTTCGGAAAAAGGTGGTTGAAAAGGTTGATCCAAGACAACTGCTCGATTACCCTTAAGGTAGCTTTGTGTATAGCAGTACAGAGATGCAACGAGACAATATTTTGAAGCAGATTATCGCAGAAACGGAGTAGTGTGCGATGATGAATCCGACCTTCAACCAACTCAGCGACCTGGTGGTACAACTACTTTCAACATCTTCTCGAGTCGTCTCCTGTTCCCGCGCCGTACCGGAGCGCCGTTCACTTCGTAGATGCTCGGTGGCTGTTCAAACAAGAATGGTCTTTCGAGGGTCCGTTTGGTACAACTATCAATGGTCCGGTTACTTCTGTTCTTTTTACATCGAATAGCCTTGGTCCCGTGAACCCCATTTTCTGGGGCAGTCAAAAACGGCGATGATATACCCACTGTCAGAGTGGCCATCGGATTTAACCGCTAAGCCATGGAGAAAAAGAATCCAGAAACAGCGGTCTTTGGCCAAGTGTCTCGGATTCCTAGCTATAAGTATGCACAGCTTGGCTCTCTTTCTCTCTGTGGCCTATGACAACCAGCGCCGGACTGTTAATGCAAGAGAGCATGAGACATTGTGCACTCATCACGAGCGAGACGGAATACTTGAGAGGACATATCGCAAACCATTGTGAGACGGAATATGTGCCAATAAGTGGCACGAGGTGTGATGTCTTTTGCGGTCACTGGGATGATGTGATGTTAAAGACTTGGATCTGAAAAAGCCAGCCTCGTGCTAAGTTGGGAGTATAGACTCATAATATGATATTCTTTTCTAATCTCATAGTAAACACGAATACGACGGGAGTCACAACGGACCAAGATTTCTGCTGAGAACAGGTTTTCAAGTGGGACCGAAATATTGACGGACAAACTGGGCCGAACTCTGGACCTTTAGATCGGGTGCTTTTGCTTAGGAACCACAGCCGGACTCCTCCAAGGCAATGAATACCCTTTGGACTCATTAAGATTTCTGAAAGCACACATAGCAGGAATGGCGGATAAAATAGTCCCTGTCACTCGGGCTCTGAGTTCATCGGCGCCCGTGTAATCGTATGCGCACTAAGCAAGGCTACCGCCTCCGAACCACTGTACCGCTTCTAGACCGCTCTAACTCCGTATGAGTCAAGTTTCTCAACGGCTGTATATCACGAGAAAGAACGCGCTCTAATTGAATGCAGTCGTAGGCTGTTTTGAAGCTGGTGTTCATGCCTTGCAGCCACCAGCTCCGGATCTGGCCCTCACTCTTGGGAGCGTCGGGTCGATTGAATCCAAAAAAGGGACCGCTGGCCACATCCAGGAAGAATTGGCTGCGGTCTTTATGCATGGCTTGACGAAACGAGTCGAAGACGGACTTGTCCGTCCCCTGCGCGTTGGCCTCGGTCTTGAGCATAAAGGGCGGAATGGCTCCAACAAGGACGGCTTTCTTGACGCGGCTGGTGCCATGCTTTCCAAGGAAATGGGTCACCTCTCCACCGCCGTGGGAGTGCCCAACCATGACGGCATCTTTGACGCCGAGGTGCTCAAAGAGTTCCAGGAGATCGTCGACAAATGTATCCATGTTATTTCCGTGCCATGTCTGTGTGGAGCGACCATGGCCGCGGCGGTCATGTCCGATGACGCGGAATCCATGGTCGGCCAGGAAGACCATTTGATTCTCCCAGTTATCGCTGCTCAACGGCCAGCCGTGCGAGAAGGTAACAATTGGGCCCTTGGGGTTACCCCAGTCCTTGTAGAAGAGCTCGGCTCCATCTCGCAGCTTGATATACGGCATGATGGCGTTGATATTGTAGGAAAGTAGCCAAATGAGTATCTCTGAATAGGTTGTTCCTCGTTGACCGGGGAAGGCTGGGAGACTATGCTGCGGCTTTACATATATTGACTCTGCGTATTTGCCCCTCACTGCCATCTCAAATCGAGATACGTCTCCATGAATGCTGGACACGCGGCTAGTGAACCCAAAATCAGGCCTTGTATGTTGTGGCGGCTCGATTGGTCAAGTCATGGGATTGACGAAACGCCTCATTCTAGCCGCATTAACTCAACCGCCATGTTTCCAACTCAAGAGGTTCTGCTAGATAAATCTCCACAACCAGCCCGTCGTTCAGTCTGGTGAGACAAACTTTCACTCAACTCTGCTGCCATGCCCAATTGAATTCTCTGTTGAGATATTCCATGTTTCCAAACCTTTTGATTCCATAATTATTTTGCCACTTCCAGTCCATCCGCAACCCCGCTGGCGTCTACAACCCGAACTGGCCGCTTGGTAGATGTCACACCGGTTCCATGAAGGCTACGATCACGAGATCTAGGGCGGGAGAATCTCACCGACTTCTTGTATAAATAAACAGAAGCTCCCTGGTCATCTAGGCCTTGAGGAAAACCAAGGACCTTTGATACTAAAGACTGTTATCAGCTGAATTAAGCTATTGCTCCAGGCCCTCATTTAGCCCTCGTCACAATTCACGAATAGAGAAACTAGAATTGATGGTATTGTGGGAAATACGCTGTATTTACAAGCATTCAATCTAGGTCTACAGCTATTATTAAAATTCCAGGGGTTGCGTTCTAAGAAATGCATCCTGAACTTGACTAAGCCCAAGTACAAGGCCCATATATGGTGGGTTCCCCGGGTTGCCTCCTGCAAGAGGAATATCTGGGTGGGTTAGATATCGAATGGCCCCGGGGCTATTTTCATTAATGAAGAATGAGGCTGCGCCTGAAAATGCTGCCTTTGCCTCCCCTGTTTTCTACTCATTATATGGCCTTTCGTATTTTAAAGCAATAAGAGTCTAGAGTGGTCGAACACTCTTTATGTCTTCGAATATTCAGAGGTTGGAAAGGCGATCTTTAGTGAGTTTACCTTATAGTTAGGGTGTAAAAGGTCCACGGGTACCCGTGTAGGTTGCTTACCCGTGGGCTTTAGGTAAGTATAGGTAAGAAAAAAAGACTTAAATAAATTTATAAAGGAAAATAAGATACTTATAATTATTTATTAAAAATATTAAGTGTTTTTAAGTACTTAAATAAGACTTATATAACTTACTTTATACTTTAAACTTAAGACTTATTATAAATATAATTAAATATTAAAGAGTTAATATTAATTATTATAATTAATTATTATAATTAATTTA